TAGTGAGTCAGCCAAACTATAAGACTTGGGAGAATATTCCGAACCAATTTGGTAATTGTGTATTGTTGCGGTTGGACGGCTACTGAACGAAAAGGAGGAATCTGATTATTGGGTATTTCAGTATAAACGCGTGAACAAAACGCAACAAACGAGACTTACTATGTCGGAGTTTAGCATTCTTTTGTAAACAGGTCATTCGTCCTAGTTGTAAAGGCTTTTTCGGTCCCATAGTTAAAAATAGAAACTAGTTAACAAAATTTCGAAACTGTGTTCCTCAATCTGTAAGTCGCGATCTCCGGAAGGACCAAGGTTCGGCAGAAATTCCTCCGGAATCCGGCGAACGATTTTAAAACAAAATTTCTTTAAAAAATTACGAACACTTTTTAAGTCTTTTTTTTAAATGAAATGTGTTGTTCGTGTGATACGGAGAAATTGTATATTAGAAATATATATATATCGGTGTAATAAATTGACTACGAATTGATTATTCTCAACGTTTTATTATTGGTAATTTGATATACAATTTCTACACGACTCCCGTTAAATACACGTCATTCGTCATTTCGAACCTCAAGATAAGCGGGAAGGTGAAACATTAAAGTTCGAGCTACGGGGTGGGTTCAAATAACGAAAAATTAAATTGCATATTTCTAAAATTTTGGGGAAAATATATATACACACACACACACTGTTTTAAATGTAAAATGTGTGTAGAATTTAAAGATAGCGCCAACTTTGAAAGCATGTGACTGAGCTGCGGTGTAGTAGTCGGTATCACCGAAATTTACGGGTTCAATACGAATGAACCTCTTAAGTTGTCAAAAAAATTTTATTTTTAATAGAAATTCTGATTCCGGTAAACGATTTCTAAAGACATCCTTGGATTAACGTTCGGAAATTAATATTTTGTCGGTGAAACAATCAAAACATTAAGTTCACAAGGACACTTCCGTAGTCTTCGGCAATTTTTGAGCAATTAAAACCACGTAGAAAGTAGGTCCACCAGCGGTAAACTGTGGCATAACTAACGTCGTGATTGCAATATAATTCGCTTGAGTTTTTAAAAATAATTTCCGCCTTTTGGTTAGACCAGTGTTTCTCAACTTCTAACGAATCGTCGCCCCCTTCACTTCAAAATTCCGATGCCGAGGGCCAAATTCGTACTGCATCAAATAGACTAGTGACTAGTATAATGTTGTTTAATTATTGTACGATATAACGAATAAAATATCTAATTATTCTTAATATAATATTTTACTATATCGGCCAGAAAATTGTTTTTCGCCCCCAAAATATAAGTTGTTACTAATCACCCCTTCAGCGTGGAAAAACGCCCACATGGGGCGATATCGCCCCCGTTGAGAGAAACGGCTAGACCCACAGTGGTGGGGTGGTCGGTTGTCGAGGGACAAGGCCCGGAATAACGGGGAAACTATCACCCGTAAAATTCCTAGAGTATTTGGCTCGTTCGGATTCGATCCCGGGTCTCTATAGCGCTAGCCTGATACCTTAATTAACTGCTCGGTCAACGTAATTTGCTAGTATAAGAATATTTTTATGAAATTTATTGAAAAATATAAAGACGATACGTTTTTTAAACGAAAGCTTGTTTAAATTTCAGTCTCACCGGAATAATATAGGGGAGGACGAAGTAACTTGGGCATACGGGCAAGTTCGTCAATAAAATTTTCTTTGAAACAAAAGGAGACTAGAGGCTGGACAGTTGACTTTTAAAGACGGCTTGAGTGTGGTGTCTGTGTTCTGCGACAAGCGGAGTTGAAATATCAAATAAGTTTTCTGCTTTATTCAATTATAATATTTTGCTTCCATTTATATAAAATTGGCACGGATATATTTGTTTTGTTATAATTCCATAATAACGAAAGTTATTTTTCCTGTTAGAAGGATAAACATTAACTTATTTATGTGGCCAGATCATGGCTCGGTACTACTTAATGTTTCTAAATCTTGACTATTGGGGAGTGTTGCCGATCGTGTTTTGCTATGGTTTGATTGGGCCGCAAACAACAAGCGGAAGATATAACTGGATCCCCATACAAAGCCACACTAGAAGCCAAGGCTTAAGTTAAAAAAAATCGGGAACTTGCAGAAGGGCAATGGATTTGGAGAAATCGGATTTGAAGTTCACTGCAGGAAAGGGCAGAAAAGTCCTGAAGAACCGGGAAATGACAATAAAAATACTTATTGTATATATTGCAATGAACAATATGCAACTACTCAGGAAAAGTGGTTTATGCGCTGCAAGTGTGGACTGTACAGACGTGAAAAATGAGTTTGTTCAATTTATTTGCGATATGTATAGGGCATAAACAATTTGCTGTTAAGCATATTTCATTTCTACTGTTTGTTTGAGTGTGCTAATTCATTTATATTGCTTTTTACTTGCATTAGGATGTTTTCATTTATTATCTGTTTGGTTTTTTTTAATTAATTTTTGTTTACATTTTCTTTACTTGTATATGTCTTTGAATTTGTATTTCGTTGTTATAATATTAAATGGGTGTTGGATTTGTATTTCTTTGTTTTAATAGTGAGTTTCAACTTATACGTTGTTAATAACACAAATTTATATACCTGCCTATCTTGCCCTATTATTGTCGCCGAGGTTGTCCCTGGTATGGGGGCAACTTCGGCAATTGCTATCTTTTTAGAAAGTTGTTATTACAGTATTATGATTATTTCCAAACTGATTTTAACTAGTTCTATAGTAAGGTAACATTTTAGTAGTCAATAAACAACGCTTTCAGTTTAAAGAAGTATTTGTAGTAGTTGAAGTAGCTTATTCTTATCGTGCCAAAATTGCCCCGTTCTTCCCTACTATTACTAATCTGTCACTTGGGTTCTATCCCAGAAACGCCTCTATATCCCAGTCCGTCTAGAGTTTTCTCTAAAAAAAAGGATATAGCTGCGAATATACCATAGAGAAAATTGGATATATTCCCGCAAGAGTTTTCTACAAATATTTGCAAATAAGCACATTCCAAATGCGTCAACTTTACGTAAAATTATCTGCAAATTGCATACGCATCAGCAATAGATAAAAGTTCGGTTTAATATTTGCAACTTACCTATTTAGGAACATCGGGTTCCAATAGGCAGCCATTCCTTACCTTCTATTCCATAAATCATGGATAAAATAAACAATGGAACGATGGCCAGATTTGTGAACGATTCTTTGCGAATCTTGTGGTTGGAAGGTGAAAATGATAGTTTTTCTACTATTAAGTGAGGCCACACACAAGCTGCATACGTTTTATCCTAAGCTGATCCGTGGCACACGTTTAAGCCCATGGTTTTCACCGAATTGCGGAAAATATTCTTTGTTTCCTAACATAAACAATTTAATTACGAAGACCAAGAAAGTATTTGTTAAAGCACCTTTTCGGGTTTCAGCAATATCAAGACACCACACCAGGAATGGCTATGGACAGAGAAGTTGTTAACGTGTTGGGAAACGTGGATTGCGGCTTATTAATTCTATAACGATCATTTCAACGGCGTCGAAGAGGTAATTCGCAAGTCTTGATAGATTCGTTCAGCCGCATCGCTGATGGTCGGGATTTTCTTGAAAATAGAGAAATGGGTCGTTAGTTGTCATATATCTCGGCTCGTTTTTACTTATAATTTTTCGACATTCGGGGTCGAAAGAATTTGTCGGAATCCAAACGTTAAGTACCGAGAGATGTCCAGTAAAAAAAACCGAGGAAAAATTAAAAACTGCTCGAAAAATCCCCCAGGATTAGATGTTTTATTTACTTAAGGAAGATGCCATTTCGCTCGAGAGATGGCGCCACATTTTCGTAACACGTTTTTTTCACAGTTTCAATCTGTTCGGACTAACGAAGGGTCTTCCAAATTGTTACGTAAATTATTCAAGGAACGGCTGGCGAAAGGAAAATAGTATACAACTCGATTATAGGAAAATTTGCAGAACGTGGATGATGGTGTAGTCCGAAAATTTACGAATATTTCGGTGTAGGAAGGAATTTCTAAGAAGTCGCGAGAAATTGAGGAAGGATTTACAATAGGAAGAGAATCGGTTGCCAGTTGCTTAATAATAGTTCGGTCAGTCAGAACAGTCCAAAGTTTTGAATTGATTTGAATTTATAAATTAGGCCCGCTTAATTATAAGAGTAGCCTAATTGTCCTAAAGAAACTTAAGGTTGTATACTGTGTATTTGTGTTCTAATTAAACTCATTACACGAAATTGAAAACTCAAAATCAACTTTAGAATTTCTTCAGATACTGTATCCAATAATATAATTCAAGAAAATCGCTAGTATGGGAACTCCGCACGCAAGGAATTGCCGGATTAGCATGAGTCTAGTGTATATTTAAGTAAGCGCTGCGTAAAAATTAGAGGAGAAGATGGTATTATGGAACCACCCCATTTCGAACTGATAATAAAGGCGAACTGTAGCCGAATGTGGCTGAACTGAACTAAACAGANGTCTAAACTGTCTGTAGTGTGGCGCTGGATGGCGAAAGTAGTTCGGCTGCCCAATGACGTTTTACGTAATTATAGGAGTTTTTTTACCGTTGTTTACGGATACCGCCACAATTTTTTTGCTGTCTTATAGGAATTGTAATTATAGGAACCTGTCTTATAGGGGGATCTACTGTATTTAAAAATATCAGTTAGTGTGGATGTACAGAATTGAATGTACAGAAAATAATCAGGAGAGAACTAAAGGAGAGGTATACATATGTCTTTGTAATTTTTCTTGGAAAATTGTATACTAATGGTAGAAGAATATCTGCAACACAGTGCTCTCACATAATCTAATGATGCTCAAAGTCATTTTACAAAACAGAAAATCTGTTTCATGAGTTAAAAATTGGCATATAATTACACATCCTTTCAAATTGCTTTAAAATACTGATAACTTACAGCTTATCTGCACAAAATTACAGTAACATTGAAATTTCAATCATAAATAATAAACAAACACATAATTAATTTTTTTTATATTTGTAGATCGATGGTTCGACTTTAAAAACACTCTGTATGCAGCATGGTCCTTTACAACAGTTCCATTTGTTCCTGAATCATGGAATTGCCCTCGTTCGTTACCAGACCCGTGAAGAATCTGCCAAAGCTCAGTCAGCTCTTAACAATTGTGTTCTGGGCAATACTACTATTTTGGCTGATATACCCAGTGATTCTGAAGTTCAACAATATATGCAGCTACCTGGTGGTCAATTGGCAGCAACAAATGTTATGGGATGGCCAGCAACACCACAGGCAGGAAATTCTGTCAATCATGGCTTTCGTACGGGAAACAATTCATACTACAGTAACAGCAGCAATACAGCTGGCGGAAAAATTGATTCTAATGCATGGAATGGAAGTGGTTTAAATATTCCTGGCGGAAATCATTTATGGTCATTTAATCCTCCAAATTCTGCAAGTCTCTGGGCATCTAATACCCCTATGAATGATCACGAGCAGAATGCATCCACTCAATTAAATTCATATTTGCCTGGTGATTTGTTGAATGGTGAGCCAATGTGAGATTTTTATGTGATTTTTTTTTCATTTTTTTTTTCCTTTTTTAGACAGTAAACAATATACTGCTAGCGTCCAAGTTGCAGGATTCTTGACTGGCGATATTTGTCTGATATTGTCCTACATGCTTGAATGAAACTTTCCTTGGATATAGGTGTGGCTTCTGAAATTGCCATATAT